GAGGCCAGCGGATGAGGATCGCGGGCACTCTGGCGCAGAACCCCCGGTGCTTGCTGGAGCCAGAGTTCCCCGGGAACCCTGGGCTCGGCTGGCCACCAGAGGAGCGGGCGCGGGTCGGGGTGCGCCCGTGAGCGGGAGCCTGAGCCCATTCTCTGCCTGCGTAGCCTTGAGCCGTGTCCGAGCGCTGCTCTGCGCCTCGCGGGGTGCAGGGCCCGCGGGAGCACAGCGCGTGCGGCTCCGAGGCGCCGCTGGGTGGAGGTGGACCGGCGGTGGGAGTTGCAGGCACCCCCTCTCGTGGCGAATTGACCTCTCTGCCTCCTCTGGGGCCGCGCGGTGAAACCTCGGAAATAAACCAGTGCCCGTGCCTGCCACTGTGAGGCCGCAGGGCGCCTGGTGTCCGGGGCGCAAGCTCTGGGGTGGGTGAAACTTCATGCGGAGTGGCGCCTCCTCCAGGCTTGGGCGCTGTTTGGGGAGCTTCATTCCTGGAACGAAGGCACGCTTGGCAGCTTGTCTCATGGACTGAAACCGCGCCCCGCTCTCCCTCCTCTTGGGGCTTCGGGTGGAAGGCGCCTGTGTCTGGGGCCAGAGCTCAGGCCTCAGGGCTGTCGCCAGAGCCCAAGCCAAGCAGGCAGCGCGCTGGGCTGCAGCAGGCAGGGCAGGCAGGCGCGCGTTCTGCTCCCTCAGGCTGGCTTCCTGGTGTGTGCACTGCTTTGCTCTCCTCCTACTCCCTGCAGCCTGGGGGAATTTGCTTACCCCTTGGTCCCTGCCCTCCCTAGGCCAGGGGCTCCACACTTGCAGGCTGGGCAGGAAAGCCAGAAAGCTGAGGACAAGAGGCTGCCTATCCCCTCCATCAGCCACGGGAGCTTGTGCCTGATTGGGCTGGAGCTGGGAGCCCCAGGGTGAACAAGTGTTGGAGGAAGTGGGAGGTGGAAGATGGAACCACCCACCAGGCCTTAACCCCTGCGGCTTGCAGCCCCCTGAGAGGCGGTCAGTTCCAGCTGACAGCCACTTCAGTTCCTGTCCTAGCCTTCTGCCCTGCCCCAGATGTGCGGAGAGGAGACTGGGGAAGCCGCCTGAGTCCACCTCTCCCGGGTGCATCAGGGCCCACCGGGTGAACTGGCCCTGCCAAGAGGCCAGACTGCACGGTGCCCTCGCCGCACTCCAGCCCTGGCCGGCTCAGGACTCCCCTAATGCTCCTTTGAACACTTCTCTGCCCTCCCCTGCTGCCTCCTGCCAGTGAGGCACGCAGCCTCCTGCTCGGCTGTCAGTCTGCTCCTTACCGTCCACCACCCCTCCCTCCATCAGCCCCCAAGGAGGATCCTTCCAGACTGGGCACGGCACTTCTCATCTCCCAAGACAAGGAGGGGGACGTGCCACAGGTCAGGGTGGACACGGAGGCTGTGCGCACAGCTGACTCCTCTCCTTCCTGTTCAGGCCCACGTCGGGGATCGCACAGCCAGGGAGACCTGCAAGGCTGGCTTCTCGGAGGAAGACTACACGGCGTTAATCTCCCAGAACATTCTGGAAGGAGAGAAGCTGCTCAAAGGTAGGGGTGGGGGCTGGAAGAGAATCACCACGCGTGGTCTTGAGTGGGAAAATCATTCCGATTGCTGTCCAGGCTGGGCTGCTCTGGGAGCTGCGGGTGGAGAGCTGTGAAATCCAGAGGGATGTGCTGGCTGGCCTAGCAGGCATCTGTCTCCCAGCTGAGGGGTTCCAAACCCCTGTCATTTGTGAGGGAGGTGGATCATTTCCAGGGAACAAATGGGCATTCAGGTCCAGCGTCACCCAGATAAGGTGGAGAGATACTGTCTCACCGAGTGTTTCCATGTCAGAGAGTCCGGCCCCTAGATTATCTGTGCTTTGAAATTTACGCGGAAGCAGATGATGATGATGATGTTGGGAACGCAGTAGACAAGCCTACAGCCATTCTGTCCGCAGCATGGCATTCATTTTCATTACTGCCCCACTGACAACAGGAAGACACTCGTACTCAAGGATGCCACCAGGTAGCTTGATCCTAATTGCAGGATTATATCCATGCGGGTGAAGGGGACTCAGCTACGGCTTCAAAACTTGAGTGACGGGATCATCCTGCATATTGATCTGTTTCCCTTTCATGACAAACTCATTAAACTGTCTCTTTGCATGGGAGGGATTAGATCAGACTTTGGCTCCCGAGATTTCAAAGCCGACCGCTCACACCTCGCGGTGCGTGCCTCATCCGTGTGGCTTCCCACCAGTGGCAGCCTTTGCAGGGATTTCAAAGCAGTGGAGGGAGCGGGCTATAGATAAAGTATGAAAGCTCCGTGTCCGCTCTTCACCAGACCACCCCCTGTCGTGGCCTCCCCAGTTGCTTCCAGCGTCTCCTTAGCCCTTTGTGATGGATGGGGTTGGAGTTCTCCCTCCAGAACTGACAGCATTGGGGGTGTGCACACGTGTGTATATGTACACGGTGTGCATGTATATGTGTGTACATGTGTGCACATATACTTGTGCAGGCATACGTGTGTACCTGTGCATACACGTGTGTGTGCATGCATAGACATGTGCATGTGTGTACATGTGCGTGCACATGTGTGCATGTGCAAGAGTGTGCTTGTATACAGCTGTGTGTTTGCGTGTACCTGTGTGGAATGTGTACATGGGCATGCGTGCTCGCACACTCATGGAGTGAGAGCCCCTTTCACGTCGTCACCCTTTGAGACAGCGTGTTGACCTGTTTGTCTCTGGGTCTGTGAATCCATTCTACGCTGACTGCTGTCTCCCTCCTGTACTTGTTGTTGTCTGTGTTGATTGCTAACCAGCTGTATGCTGGTATTGACTTGCTTATTGATCACGTATACACAGATCTCTAGGCATTTGGCCTAGAAGCAGAATGAACATGCTGTCTGAGCTGGCACACATGGTGAGGTTTCCAAGGGGTTCTCTAAGAGTTGTACTGCTCGGTTATCTACTGTAGAAGGAAGGGGTTCTGGCCGGTCCTTGGGCTGCTGGGAATTCTGATGTCTCCGAGAAGCCCAGATGGGCCCTGGAACCTGGGGCTGGGGGTCCCCAGTGTGGGACAGCTGTGGGCATGTCCCGAAGCTCCACCGTCTGAGGCTGGCCTCCCTGAGTCTGTGGTGGGGATATGGAACGTGGCATGTCTGGGGACATCCGTGTCACTCAGCGATTTTAGAGGAGAAAAGCCCTCTATTTACTGCTGACCGGGACTGCCGACCCCAGAACAGGACGGAGAGCGTCCTGCTTTGAGGAGAACGTGTGAGGTCGCAGAGCAGCACCTTGTCCTTCAGTGGGGAGCTACCCCACCCTGCTCCAGGCCCCAGAGATGTCTTGATTGCTGGCCTGGTCCTGGCCTGGCCCCTGAGCCCCAGTGGCTTCCCAGAGGGGGCAGCGGTGGACTCGGGCTGCCTCCTGGCTTGGGAGGTGGACACTCTCCTCCTGAGCATCTGCACCTGAGATGAGGTCGGCGCGCCTGACCCCTGAGGACCTGGCAGTGCGTCTCCTGGCCTCGGGTCGCCCCACGTCCCGCCCTGCCTAGGCTGGGCCTGTGGTGGTGTTCCTGCGGTGCCTGGGCCTGCTCCCCACCGCCTTCTGCTTTGGCTGGCTCCCCCCCTTTTAATTGTGGTAAAATATCTACCACCATGTGCCGTTTTTGCCGTTGTAATGTGTGCAGCGTAGTGCACTGATTTCATTACTGTGCAGTCCGTCACCATTGTCTGGTCCCCAGACTTCCTCATCACCCTGATCTGAACCTCCATGTCCCTGAGCAACAGCCCCTCCCGTGCCCCCGCCCCTCAAACCTCACTGTCATCCAGTCGATTCCGACTCCTAGCAACCCCTCCTTGATTTTCCGAGGAGGTATCTCTATGGAAGTAGATTGCCCAATCTTTCTTCCGAGGAGTGGCTGGTGGGTTTGAACCACCCACCTTCTGGTTAGCCGCCACATGCCTTAGGCACTGCACCCCAAGAGGGCCCCAGCCCCTGGTGACCGTGAATAAACTTCAGCCTCTCTGAGTTTGCCTGTTCTGGATGTCTCATATAAGTGGGATCAGACAAAATTTGTCGTTTTTATGTCTGGCTTCTTTCACAAAACGTTTCTGTGTTTTTAGCAGGTAAGAGGCGTTTTTTCTTTTTCTTATGGCTGCGTGATACTCCCTTGTGTGGGTACCCAGCACTTGGTAGCCGTTCCTCTGCTGACGGACACTGGCTTGTCTCCACCTGTTGGCTGTTGCGAGTAGTGCCACAGTGAACATTGGAGCACACCTGTCCGTCTGAGTCCCTGCTCCAGCCCTCCGGGTGTGCACCTAGGGGCGGGATTTCAAGGCCATATAGGGGCGGGATTGCGGGGCAGATAGGGGCAGCATTGCGGGGCCAGATAGGGGCGGGGACAGATGGGGCGGCATTGCGGGGCCAGATGTTCAGAGGAACTGCTGGTCTGCCTTGCTGGCTCTCCTCAAGTTGTGGAATTTCGGGAGCCAAAGGGCATTTTATATGTCAGAGGCAGTTTTCACACAGAGACGTGAGAGCTAAGGCTGACTGACACTCAGGCCCGGGCAGGTAAATATCTCTTTCTGTGCAAAAAACCTGGCTGTGGCCAATCCACACTGAGGCTGTGTCGTGTGTCACAAACAAAGACATGCAGAGTTTTTTTGTGATTCCGGTAGGAACCAAGTTAAGGAGCTAATGACTACTTATAACTCAGTTATTCCAACGGAGAGAGGGTAACCCCTTAATTTGACAAGCACAGCTTCACCGGCCGCCACCGCCACCGCGGTAGCATGAGTGCGCTGCGGCGGTTAACGGCTACTCTGTGGCTGTTTGTGCTGCCTGCCTCGGAGTGGAGCCAGCCTCCCAGCAGCCTCAAATGCTTGGACTCCGGGAGCGATTTGTTACACAGTCATTAACTTGCTTATGATAAATGGATGGAGGAAATGTCGTGGCATTTTGTTTTATGTCCAAATGAAAAGCATTTGCATTCTAAAAATTTCATGCTAATTAGGTTTAAAGTAGTTCCCTCCAATAGGGTAGAACCACGCTGAATCGCGAACCTTTTTAATTGCACAGCCTCCAAGGGCGGAGAGCGGGTGTTGGCGGGACTGATCTGTGCGTGGCATTGCCGGAAGCCCTGCTGTGTCTCCTGTCTGAGCTTCTGAGCATAAATGTACCTGCGTTTAGGCTTAGTTTTGCTTTCAGGATAATTTGCTTATGGCCATGATTGCCAGTACATGGCAGTATTGACAATAGGCTGGGTAAGTAAGCTGTGTTACCTCGGTGAAACGGGAATGTTCCCACAGCCGTTGTTAGCTGAGGGCACTTGCTAAGGTGGTGTCTTTTGCCCGGCTTCGTTGTTAGTGGGTGGCCAGCCTCCCCTGAGGCAACAGCTCGGTGCCCTGGCCCCGCTGTTCTGCGGGTGGTCGGGTCGGGGAAACATGGAAACCGTCAGTGGGGGGAGTTAAAGGTGTGAACAGTGAACTCGTGCTTGTGGCGCGTGCCCCTCGGTCTCGAGGTTGTCTGGTGGGAGACGGAGGAATGAGGAGGGGTCTGGGCGGTATCCCAGTAAAGGAGGAGCGCTCCGAGTCCACGACCTCCTTAAAGAACCCCTCCTCCCTGCCCCCCAATTGGTTTAGAATCGTCTTGTATGCACCCCTTCTTCTTGTTAGAGGGCTTAGATGTCTGTCCAGCTATCCCTCACTTAAACTGTAAGATTCATGACAGAGCAGCCCTGTCGCTCTTGTTTGCTGTTTATGTCATTCTGGAATGTTCTTGGCCAACAGCAAAGCCCAATGAATAGGGCATTAAATGACTAGGAGTCCATTTTTCTTGTGTGACAGTGAGTGCCAAGAGAGGTGGCCGAGGGCGGGAGCGGCTCAGTGACCGTCGTGTGACTTACCTTCTTCATCCTTGTCTGCCGCTTTTAACAAGGCAGGTTGTCGCCTCCTGGTTGCAGACTAGCTGCCTTGGTTCCGGACATTGCAGCTGAGTTTAGAGCAGGAAGAAGCCAGGAATGAATGTTTTCTTAGAACCCTTGCAGAAGGTCTCATTGGCTAGAGCTGGGACACATGCCCTTTCCAGGTACACATGTAGGTGGAGGGAGGCTGTGAAGATGGAGATGTGTTGGCATGTCGACCTTATGCTCATCACGGCCCGTCACCAGGGCCATGACCAAACTGCCTTTCAGAACAAAAGGCTGGATCTGTTTTGGAGAAAGGATGGCTGCCGAGAAGACTGTGCCACCACGTTTCACACTAAGTCACAGCAGAGGTGACAGGAGACACTGGATGCTTGCTCCTGGAACTGGCATCGGGGTGTTCGCCGTAAGGTGATGGGAATGGCTGAAAGCACTGTTACCTTGTCTCTCTAAGTGAGTTGGGAATATTCTGTGGCCCTTGGGGTTTGGCCGGACCGCACTCCATGTAGACGGGTAACTGGACAGGGTGGAGCTTGTCCCTGGATGCGTGGGCAAGGAGATGGGCAGCCCCCTACCTCATCCTGGCCTGTGGGACAGGTGCATTCAGGAGGAGTTGAAGGATTGAGTGAGCAGGAGAG